TATCAAAATTTTCCTGTTTCCTAATCCTTTGCTTAGATCCTGAAAGCATCTTCACTTATTCAAATAGCCAGTTTCTATCACATGTCGAATCCTTTCTATAACACTTCCAGCATCGTTAAAAAAAAGTTTACTTGCTCGATTCTTACGATTCAATTTCATAGCTTCCATCTTGGATGGCCCGTGCTTCGTTAAGAGTAGACGTTCTGTCTTCGAAAAACTGATGGCTATTCATTTCTTCGCACTTTCTTTGACGGTATCGTTTCTGTTGTTTCCTACGTCAATCGTCAAATGCCATATGGAAACGCTACGGTTCAAAATCGTTTGCGTGATCGTGTCTCTGATTTATTTTCCACATAACCAACACAGCAAGACTGATTCTACTCTATTGCTATTTCCACCAGTTCAGACGTTTACACCTAGGACACGCCATGTCATTTCTACGGAACTTAATCGCTCTCATTTCCCCCGTTCACCACCTGAACAGAAAGTCCTAATTTCATAATTTTTTTCTTAATAATTTCTACTGAGAGAACGTATCGAAAACAAGATAGGCAAAGGAAAACAACGAATAAACTCTTTAAAGATCTTATGTTAATGATTGGCAGAAGAGGATTCGGAGAGATAGAGAAAAGAAAAAGAAAGAACTATGAAGATGAGTAGGTTACACAAAACCATCATTGTCACGCCCTGAAGAAGAATTTTGCCTCATGGAGAATGTGTAGTGAATATCTATAGGGAAAACTTTGATAAGATTAAACAAAGACTCAACACGCGAAGACGAACATTCATTTGTAAGAAAATTAGTGTTTTCATGAGCTCTATAAAAAGAATCTGCCTTGCATAAAGAAAAATATTTATTTGTAAAATCTTCGTTGAAATATTTGTTTTGCAAGTGGAACTCCCTTCGGGCCCCATGCTTTCCTGCTGACTTTAATCTGTCAAAATGAAAATGCAATGTAAATCGCTATTTACTGTCCTCCTGATTAATCTTTTCTCTCCCGATCATTATTAATGTTTCTGTTTCTAATTCTTGCACACTCTGTAAACCCTTGTGTCTTGGAGGCTTTTCTGCTTTGCATGGGATGAAACTGATTAAAAAAAGGGAATTAATGTAAGTATGTACTTCTTTTATGTGTCGTGTCACTTCAGAAAATAGGCGAACATGTCTGTCCACAATTTCCTTTCAATTATATCACTGAGCGGACCCTGAAATTTCGCATATCACGTTGAATAGTTGTACACTCAGGGAAGACACGTACCTTGAGTACCTATTAGCAATAAACTCAAACCCTAAACAAACCTTGTACATACGATTCATCGATAAAGGTGCTGGAAAATTAGTTGCTTGTCCGTACCTCCCCAGTAACAAACATCACTAAAGATGCAGAAAATATTGACAGCTCCCTGTACCGCGTCAGTAATTATCTGACTCCACCTTCAACTGTCTACTTTTACAAGTGTTCGATCAGGACGAAAATAGAGTATCGTTGCCATAAATGCGCAGGGGCTGCTAACGTTTCACTTTCCAAAAATGTAGACGCTTTCTTGTGGGTGATGGATTATTTTTCTTCCTTAAAGCCTTTTTCCCACAGACGAAACTTTCAAAGCCTTTCGCTATTCTCTTGTTATTTCAATAAAAAAATGTCCAGACGAAGTACATTCCTTTGTTCAACCATTTCTACGGCTAAGAGCCGCCCTGCCACGCCCAGTGGAGGGAACCATCTTCATTACTTTCGTATTTCATTGGTGTGATATCAGATCCACTCGAACTGTTTTTAGACAGCTGTTCTCTAAGTATTTTCACTTTGAAGAGCAAACACCAGCCTGGGCACATCCCTAAATACTTCAGCCATGACCTCTTCATGTCATGGAGCATTCTTCATTTATTTTTAAATCTTTACCTACTGTTGTAACTTAGAAAGGAATAAGCAAAACGGAGTTTAGAAATGAAATGGTAATCTTGATAACACCAACACAATGCAATAATCGCCAGCGGCGTGAAGTAGGTAAACCACTGCTGGAGGTGGACTACTTAGAATGGATGTTACCCCCGCTTACAATAATATCCATTTATGAGGATTTGGAGATACCCATTAGTGTTCATAGGTACGGTATATAATAGATAGATAGACAGATAGATAGATATGAACAGGCTGAAATAGATATGAATAGATTGAAATAGATAGATAGATAGATAGATAGATAGATATGAACAAAGTGAGATAGATAGATAGATAGATAGATAGATAGATATGAACACGCTGAAATAGATATGAACAGATTGAAATAGATAGATAGATAGATAGATTGATAGATATGAACAAAGTGAGATAGATAGATAGATAGATAGATAGATATGAACACGCTGAAATAGATATGAACAGATTGAAATAGATAGATAGATAGATATGAACAAAGTGAGATAGATAGATAGATAGATAGATAGATAGATATGAACACGCTGAAATAGATATGAACAGATTGAAATAGATAGATAGATAGATAGATAGATAGATAGATAGATAGATATGAACAAAGTGAGATAGATAGATAGATAGATAGATAGATAGATAGATAGCCTTGTAACCTAGGGAAGATTACTGCATGAGGAAATGAAATGGTAATCTTTGTAACATCAACAAAATACAATACTCGCCAGCGGCGTGAAACAGGTAAACCACTGCCATGTGTGGATATCACTCCCACTTACAATAGTGCCCAATGTATTTATGAAGATTGGGACATACCCATTAGTGTTCATGGGTATATATAACACCTACATAATCGTCCCCGCATAGCTGCTCCCCTTCCACTTGTATCAAACATCTAATTTAGGACTATCATTTTAACACTAACCTTCTCACTACCGATCCTTTTGTGGGTGAAGATTAACAACAAAAAGAAAATCTCAGTTTGCTCATATACTTGTAAACTCTACAATATAGTATTATTAACATTCGCCTTCTATTGCCATTGATGTAAAATTTTCTTATTTTCTTCCAACCAAAAATAATCTAAGAACCAAATAAATTTCATGACGAAGTTTTAAAATTTCTTCAAAATGCATTTAAAAATTCCCGAAAACATTTCTCTTATATTTCACTGCAAACTTGTAAGAACCTTTACTATGGCGTTACCTTAGGAGGCTTACTGCCATATTATATTAGGCTAAGTAACTGTTATTTCAAGAAATTTAGCTGAGAGCAAATTTATGATACATTCCAATATTTATTTAATGTATTTAAGCCGTTATCTTTCAAAGGTTAAGGGTTAATTTTCGTTGTTTTATTTTTCTATTTCTCTATTTTTGATTTTTCTGACTTGCTTCATTTTCTCAGCCTTGCCATTCTTGTCTTTCGTTCTGTGTTTTTATAAGCATCGTAAGAAACATTATCACTTTCCTCATCTTTTTCTTCTTCTATCGTCGTCGTTATCTACGAGGAGGCTGCTTAACCTTTTCTTATATGTGTGATTTTGTAACAGCGTTTATATAAAATAAACGAGAATATGATAAGGGTTAGAATTAGGAAGAGAAAATGATCTCAGCTAAAACAGCCACGCAGGTGGTTGGAAATATATATTTTTCTGAAACACGTTCTGTTTGATAGGGCCGGAAGCTCAGCCAAAAAAGAAAAAAAAAAAAAAAGAAAAAAAAGTAGGATGTGTCAGTGCTTTAAATTGTCCGTGAAATGACGAATTGGATATTAGCAAGACCTTCCGGTAAACAAAGCGGTTACTCCCCACAAAAATCCACCACTGAGGATTTTCGCCTCGATAGAAACATGTAGGTCTGCCAATGCTAGGATTGGGGAATCTCTCTCACTCATTTCTCCCTCGCGGCAAATTTTCCCCACTAGAGACAATTAAAATAGCCAATACAAACCATATGCGTTGTGCTATTTAATACTACAAAAAATCTTTCTCTATGTGAAAAAAAAAAAAAAAAAAAAAACAAAAACGGCTGATTTGATTTTCATTAAGTAACACAGACGGTGCGACTTTGGTGCATTGCCCTAAAAACAGCCGTCGAGACTAGCATAGTGACACAGCTGACTCAAAACGACTGTAGTAATCAAACACCATTTCGATGAACTTAATTAAATATGATGCCTTATGTATGTCAATAGGAAAGAAATTCCAGTTTTTTTTTCGTTTTCCTTTCTTTTTTGTATTTTTTAGTCTTTTATCGGATTTTCTTTATCGAATCCATCTCAAGGCTCCCCGTCTCTTTCTTTTTATCTGGTTACTCCCCACTCTAGCTCCCAAACAGACGGTAACGTAATTACGTAATATTCCATGGCATTCGTTAGTGCAGAAGACGTGCCTGTGTCTAATTATCTATGTCATGAGCTGACATGGTTCATCTTCATGGAAAACGAGGACAGAATATTTTTAAAATCTGGTTTGTGTCCGCTTAGAATTTTTCAGTGTTAACGAACTTCGCCTGAATGACGAATAGCGATTCTTAAAAATTTTAAAATCACAAGTATTAGTCCAGGGATTTTTATTTAGCGTCATATCAACACCTCTGTGGGTCATTTAATCCCACAAGTAAAATATTTTTACGCAATTTTATTCACCCTCTCCCCCGTTTATTATTTTGGGGTAAAACGTTTCATTTTCAGACGATTTTTTATTGTTTTTAATTTTAACTAACAAACTGAGGCAACTTGATGTACGCGAGCGATGGCTAAAAACTCTACCAGGCGTGCTCCTTGGCAAATAGTTTTCTTCCAGGCTCAGAAACGCATAAAAAGAATCAAAATCGACGTATAAATACGTCTGTAGCTGTTTTTCTGTGAACGTTATATTTTAGACAGGTTTATTCGTCCATGTCTGAAAAATTACTTTCAACAAGAACATATATACACGTATACGCCGGGGAAGGGGTTATGCTTGGTAATAAAGCTTTTGGGGATACAAGTCTTACTAATTAACCCATAGCTGGGAGAACTCAACTCTCCGATTAACAATTCCGAGCCATTATGTATTAAACGCAAAGCACCTGACATTTCCAAACGTTTACCCATCTAGGTACTGACCAGGCTCGACGTTGCTTAACTTCGGTGATCGTACGGAAACAGGTGTTTCAACGTGACATGGATGTAAGCCATGGGTATTTTTAATAATGTATAAGATAATAAAAAATAGTATTAATTTTTATGCATATCAATCAGATTAATTATTCCAGAGATATTCCGTTATTTTAAGACATTTTTTATGTTTATACATTCTTTTTATAGATACAAATATTTAAGTAAATGCTCTGTTTATAATAAACAGTATTAACGACATTTACCAGCCTGAATGTCCGAGAAATTTTCATAGAAAATATGCGTCCTTTAACAGGAATCGAACCTGTATCCTATACGGAACCGTCATCTAGCCTGATGTGCTTTTACCGATTGAGCCACAGAGGAGCATTTCGGTGAGCAAGGTCGATTTTACTGTTTTTAAAATAAAATTCTCCATGATTTTCTCGCGTACAATCATATCTGCTCGATGCGTATCCAAATGTAAACAAACGACGTTACACATTAGGAAATGGACAAAGTCCGACAATTATTTTAAAACATTTTTATGTTTATATTAAGTTATGCAAAATAAAGCATTAATATTTGTTTATATTTCTGAGATTAGGTACAGTGTCTATTTACACTATTTATATCGTTCGGACAGTTGTCCTCATCTTTATTTCCATACAAGATTACCCGTGATTCGCTGGTTCACTGACAGTTCAGCTTATAGAACATAGAAGTTGATTTCAACATTCCATTGAAATGAAAGTTAATTTTATTATGATTCAGTTAGTTATTTCTGTTCGTCCGAGTCAGCATTGGTCTGGTATACAAGTTCGTATTTAATGTTTTACTGATTGTTTACAGCATTTGATAAGAACAGACCTTTCGAGATAAACTTGAACTTTAAAACATTTTTGATATGACAAATGAGGTTCAAAGTTGAATAGATTGAATGAGTGGCGTAATACGAATGAATAATAATAGGTCCCGGGAGGTTAAGATATTGAGGATAAGGAAAATAGATAATGATTTACCCTTGACTTCAAGTGGTTAAGATCGTAGGGTTAAGTGAAGCCATCATCGGTTCTACAAAATGGCAGATCGTAGGAAAATTTTTCGAGCTTTTTTTTTCAGTTGGAACACAGAGAAAATGATAATGAATCGAAGTAGCAAGACGTGCCCTCTCTGTAAAAGTCTGAACTGGTTGAACTAATAAGCGCTCATCTAAACATTTGCTATGGAAATAACGATAGGGTAGCGGGAAGCTTACGGCGTTGCATCTGTGGGAAAAAAATTTTCCACACAAGCCCGCGTAAACGGATTTCAACATTATTAACGTTGAAAAGATCTGGTCGATATCCGTCTCTATTTCTGAGATGAGGTATAGTAACTATTTACATTATTTATATCGTTCAGACTATTGTCATCATATTTAATCCGTATTCAAAATTTTTAACAGTACTCTACAATAGAGGTCGGCAACCCTCGGCATGCGTGCCAAATATGGCACACCGATGACTCGTTTCTGGCACGCGAAGCTTATTCATTAGATTCCCTTTTATTCTTTCTCCTTTTTCATGTCTATCATTATCTCATGTATTATCATTTTCTTCCCTTTACAGATTGTTCAGAATGTCACAATCATTAGCTAAGAACTGATGTTATTCAAATGGAGAAGATATTAGAGAATTTAAAGAATACTGGACTGAAAAATGTGATATGACTAATAAAGAAAATAAAGCCTTATGCCTTTTCTGTTCCGAAACAATCGTTTGTAGGACTTCTTCTGTAAAGAAACATTTTGAAAGTGTTCATAAGAACTTAAGCAATAAAGATGAAGAGGAAAAAGATAATGAATTTCTCGTGAACTGAGCTAGACAAAAAAAAAAAACAGGTTGATACTTTAATGAACTTTAAATCAGGTAGGCTCAGTTCCAACTTAGTTGCTGCTAGTTTTGAGCTTTCAAAAATTTTTGTTGGCACGTGGAAAAATTTTGACCGGTTTTGGCACGCACTCTCAAAAAGGTCAACCACCCCTGCCCTACAAAGTAACAACAACCATAGTACATGACAACAGTTCCCTCAAAATGGGATAGAAGGGTACAAGACTGCCTACACTATGTGGAGTGATTATCAGAAAAGATACGAAAGATTTATATATAACATATAGCATCAGCACTGTGTATAGCACCAGGACAACCTTCAGGTGTCATTCAACACTACACAAACATCTCTTTCGAGTAAGACCACCCATATCATAGGACATGATTAAAGACTGTATGTACGCCATCCCGTGCAGCTGTAACAAGAAATATAAAGGAGATCCCTTAAGATAAGACTACAAAACGAGCGTAATGCCGTAAAACGAGGGAAAATAGAAATAGCAGGCATGGCTGATCATATAGAATGGAATTAGAATAATCTACCCCCGTTAAATAAATAAATGTTTCAGTTTGAAATTCCGACGTATATCACCTAAGGTCGGAACGTACAACTGCGGAAATATCATTATACGACAATAAAGATGATGTAACTACTGCTAATTAATTCATGCAATTAAAATTCTTTTGACTCATGTTGCTACATAACGAACGGGGGATTTCCCTTCTATGTGTGTCTTTTGGATACAACGACCAGAAATCTAAAACAGAGGGTGTCGTTTGTATTCCTAAATATTTTTTCTTATATTTTGCCTTGTTTGAAATAAACGCTAGGCGGCCTGGAAAATATATTTAAAATGCGGATATTTTGCAAAATATGTTAATAGCTGTCGTACTATATTTTCAAAATGCTAGGAAAATTTCGGTGACGGATGATGAATAAAGAGATTCGGTCAGAGTTTTCATTGTGCCTCTCGAGGTTTTCATCTGGCATAAAATTATGGAAATCTTTCTTTTCAGCTATTTCATTGGCAATTTGTTTCTGTCGCAACTTGTGATAGCCGAGTCGGAAGTAATATCGAAGGGAATCATTGTCATGCTTCCCGTAATATTAAAATTATTCATATGCGCAAAAAATGTTCATCACAAATTCCACGACAATTCCTTCGGAAGGTGAGAGTTCTGCTGTTTCTAATTTGATATACACCGCCCAATGTACCCGACGTGACTTGATGTGTGTGGGCTACGCAAGAGAAAAAAAAATAAACAAAATATTTAACGGCCACAGGTATGACACCCGTCAAAACAATCCTGTATCAACAGAAACAGCAGAATATTTTATCTCGTACAGCTGCAACTTCGAAGACGTCTTTTATATATACATTTTGAAAAAAAAAATTCTGTATACACTGACCTTTAAAATCTTAAAACGCATTATTAAAATTAAGCAAATTATATATGCAAATTACTAACGTCTCCATCCTGGGGAATAAATAAATTGACAGGAGAGGTGCATAACATTTACACTAAACTGTTTGATTAATCGCTCTTTCTAACAAATCAGCAGGCGGCAAAAATTAATTTGAATGCTCTCCCCATGACAAGCGGCAAGACTTTTTTTTTTCTTCTTTTGTTATATGTATCATTTGTGGGAGCCTGACATACTTTCGAATTATTATTAAACACTGTCTTCCTTTCTTTTCTGGAAATCACGATCTTCTAGGAATAATAATAATAATAATAATAATAATAATAATAATAATAATGATAAAATAACTATTTTTATTATAAGTCAAAAATAATAATAATAATAGTAACAATAATAATAATAATAATAGTAACAATAATAATAATAATAATTATTATTATTATTATTATTATTATTATCTTCTTTTCTGGAAATCACGCTTTTCTATGAATAATAATAATAATAATAATAATAATAATAATAATAATAATAATAATAATTTTATTATAAGTTAAATAATAATAATGATAATAATAATAATAATAATAGTAATAATAATAAAAATTATTATTATTATTATTATTATCTTCTTTCTGGAAATCACGCTTTTCTAGGAAAAATAATAATAATAATAATAATAATTATTATTATTATTATTATTATTATTATTATTATAAGTATTATAAGTATTATAAAAATAATAATAATTATAATAATAAAAATAATAATAATAATCATAGTTATTATTATTATTATTATTATTATTATTATCTTCATTTCTGGAAATCACGCTCTTCTAGGTATAATAATAATAATAATAATAATAATAATAATAATAATAATAATAATAATTATTATTATTATTTTTATTATTATTATTATTATTGTTAATATTATTATTTCCTCTGATTTTTGGTGTTTACAAATTTCTTTCCGAGTCCCGCCCTGACACCTAAGGCATCATGACATTTTTCACTGACCAATTAAAAAAAGAAAAACACGCACACACAAACACATTTTACATAGATAGAGCCCTTTGCAAGGTGTGGGCTGTACTCGTGAGAACAATTTTTGTATATCTTTAAGGCATGGGCTATCAAGAATCCCTTCAGTGGGTCTACTGAAATCTTTTCCAACCAATCCGAGGCTTCCAAGTCAACAGAAAGAAAGAAGCTGACAACGTCAATGATTGAACTCGAAAAAACCTTCAGAGAAAACAAAACATTTACATGTACCCAAGACTTATGGAGAGAGCTGATGATGTGGTTGATGGTGATGAGAATGATGAAACAATTTATAAAATTAGTTTGAAACAGTAGCAATGTCACTTTGTAGGGGTCATTGGTGTTAGCTATACATTTTTACGCATACTTTGCCAAATTCAGTATATGTAGCTACAATAATTCGTACTTTGTTATATCAATCTTTAAAAAAAATGCGACGTTGGAATAAAAGACATTTTTTTCTGTTAAGGAGACGACTTTAAATTGAGTTGAATATTTGGAAATGTGCGAGTTAAATTCGGTAAATCTCCAAAGAAATCAAATTTATAACCAGGTTAAAGTTATGGGAAGCTATGAAAAATAATTTTCTTTTAATTTGGAAAGTTCAGTAAAATTTTTGTAGTCGTGCGCAGACAAATTTAATAAATTCTACAAATCCAATTTTCTTTAAGGCAAGCAAACATAAAAATAAAAAAAAATGCAAGAGAAATTTCTTATGTGAGGAAAATTTTC